AGACGACGATGCTTTGTTTGTTCACATTCCCGGAAAAAACCTCCAAAACGGCAAATGAGTTATTACGAGTTCAAGGAATGTAACATAAGACTGTGTGTAGATCCCTGTTTTAAAATTTTTCATACGAAAAGAGAATTTTAAGTAATATATTTAGTTTTTAGATGTATAATGTTAAAAGTCATAAAATGGTGAGTAATTAAAATAAAATGTGTAAAATATGCATTTAAACAAGAAATAAGGTAATTAAAGTATATAAGCCATTTAAATACTCTATAGAGCATTATTAAACAATGCGTTGATACTTCGGAAATTTCATGGATTTAGGCTGGATTTAGGATTAGGTTACTAGCTAGGACTTTAGCAGTGTACATGGATAAAGTGAAGAGTGTGCGCAATGCCCTTTTTGTGCAATTCTGGGATGTTTTTTTAAGTGAAAATAGGTCGACGTGTACATGGATGATACCGTGTATGTGCAATTCTTAAAAACGCGGCAAGCAGTTTGCGATTCTGCACTTCCTCCCAATTTCGCACCTAATCTTCATCATGATTAAGCACTTTTGTTCCATAAAAGTTCTAGCATAAGTGTAATTTGGCTAGCAGATTGTTGAAAAAAATGTTGAGTAAAAAAAAAAAAAAAAAAAGCCTTTACTTCATGAAAACAAAATGGTGTCCAAACAAAAACTAGCAGGTTGCTGTAGCAGGGTTGGTCGCCAAATTTTCGCCAAGTTACCATAATCCAAAGATTAACCGAAAATTCTATTTGACATAATCGAAAGTTCAAGCTTACTTTTATAAAATTGCTTTAACAGTCTGCAAAAAATAATAAGCAGGATCCAATTAGAAGATTAAGGAACAACGCAACATTAACTGAAATAGATAATTTTAGCTTAGCTTATACCGTCTGTTATACAATAAACGCGCATGCGTAAATGTATTATGCGCATGCATCGACGCATGCGCAGAAAGTTTGTAGCTTTGAGGTCCGGATTATAGATCATTCCGGTTTATAGACATTCAGATTAAAGACTTTTGACTGTATTATACATTTATTAAGGCTGTTATTTGTAAATTTTAATGTCTAAAGGTGGTATTAATGGATTTTTAATTTCTCTTTATAGATCATATTTAATATTGAGATATTAGAAAAAAATTTGGTACTCTTCTGTTATTGGAACCGAATTCAGAAATTGGGAAGAGTGCAGAATTGCCCACTGCTTGGCTCGTTTTGTATTGCACATACTAGGTATCCATGTACACATCGACCTATTTTCACTTTAAAAAAATTCCCAGAATTGCACAAAAATGGCATTGCACACTCCCTTGACTTTTTCCATGTACAAATCGACCAATTTTTCACTTAAAAAGTGGAAGAAAATTTGCAAAATTCCAATTCGGCTAATCTTTGGAATATGGTAACAGGTAGTTTGGCGACATTTTGGTAAGGCGATAAAGGTTACTAGCTAGGACTTTAGCAGTGAACATGGATAAAGTTAAGAGTGTGTGCAGTGCCATTTTTGTGCAACTCTAAGATGTTTTTTAAGTGAAAATAGGTCGACATGTACATGGATACCATATATGTGCAATTCTTAAAAACACGGCACGCAGTGAGCGATTCTGCACTTTGTCCCAATTTCGCACCTAATCTTCGTCATGATTAAGCACATTTATTCCATAAATGTTCTAGCATAAGCGTAATTCGGCTAGCAGATTGTTGGAAAACATGTGTTGAGTAAAAAAAAAAAAAAAAAAAAACTTTACTTTGTGAAAACAAAATGGCATCCCCCCCAAAAAAACTAGCTGGTTGCTGTAGCAGGGGTGGTCACCAAATTTTCGCCAAAAAAATAGCCAAGTTACCATAATCTAAAGATTAACCGGCATATCCTTTGATTCTCTAACCATTCCGAAATCTGTTTTATCAATTTCACGTTGCTCTGCCAAGGGGAAGGGGGGGTGACGACGCCGCACGCAATGAACTGGAAGTTGATCTGTCAGCACTATCCGTATCTTCAGGGCAGATGTTTTTATTTTATTCTGCTTATAATTCCTTACTAAATATAGTATTTCATCTCGATTGTACTCCGTCTTTTGATATGATTTAAATCAAATTCCTCCTCATTATAAATATCACGAATACACATCAAATAGTTTTCTGGTTGCAATTTTCTAATTCTGACTATGCGTAATGTATGCTTTACGCATGCGCGCGTTGAAAGAAATGTTTAAAAAAGTAAACAAATAAATATTAAGCTTTTTTTTTTTTTGTAAATTCTGATACCCTTTACATCATAATTGCTCTTTATTTCATAAATTACAGTTTCATATTTTTAATTTTATAATTTCTGCATGCCATCTTACTAGATTTAAACTGATGATCTATAATCCGGAAAAACCGATAATCCGGAATCGTCGAAGTCCCGACGAGTCCGGATTAAAGACTTTTGACTGTATAGCACCTCTCTTGTTATTATAGGTACGATAACTACAAAAGAACAGTCAATTTTATTACACTAATTTGCAATTTTAAAACTTACACTTAAATGTACATTACACATAAACGCCTCATTTATAACAACACACCTTAAATTTCCCTTCGCTTCCGACTGGTAAATACTTGGACTCCTGATACTTTATAAGAAATATATATAAAAGAAAATCCATCTCCTAAAAGTTAATTTTACTGAATTTCATTCGGAAGGATAACACAGTGATTAAGAGATCTATTTCAAGCATATGAAATAAAAACTGCCCAGAAAGGTTTGAAAGTACTTTCATATAAATTAAAATACTACCTTTTTATATATACTGCCAGTAAGATATGTAATAAATAGTTCACACTTACCACTCTGCTGTCCTTCATTTACAATTGCTTCTTTAAGCCTTTTAACAAGCTCCGCTTTTAGACCAGATGTTGGTAAACCGCGATTTGATAAATGCTCCCTTAAATCAACAACACGAAGTTTCGACAAACTATCAACATCTAAATCTGCCATTTTTAACTAATGATCAAACCATTGTAAAGACTGCTGCCAGATACGTTTATCAAAATGTAACGTCAAAATGTGAAACAAGACAGACAGACGAAATAGATAGATGTCTTGTTTTGCACCCGTCTTTCTGTAAGTCTTTCTGTTCGATGGGCGAAAAATCAAGTTTAGGTGCGAAGGAAAGATATATAGAAAGGGGGGCAATTTCATATTTCAGAGGTGAGTAAAAAGGAACTTCTTAGATTTTGTACTAGTTCAACAGGCCAGGAAAAAAGATAGGACAAAATAAAACTTAAAATAAATGGCCCAAAAAATATTAGAGGGGGGGGGGAAGGCTTGTAGAAAGAAAAGGAAAAGAAGTAGAAAATATCCTAAAATACGATTGTGTCGTGTCCATTAGTAGTTAAGGAAAGTTCGAGGCAAAAAGTTGGAATTTGGATATAACAACATATTATTAAAACACAATTTTTGAATGAATCTTTGAATAAAAATCTTTTAAATCTGATATGAATAGCACAGAAGCAGAAAACAAGCTGTTAGGGTAGAAATTTTACAATTTGGAAGCAAGCATTTGTAAATCCTAATATGGTACTCGATAAAGCAGACTGTGACAAAAATCTTACGGAAATTTTAATTGCAGTTAATAGTTTAGTAAATTTTATTCTTTTGCACATAAATTATGGATAAGCAATTTCAGGTAATTGTTAAGGCAGCTGATGTAGGATTTTAAAATCATCAGCCATAATAGAATTTAAAATGCATTTCCTTCTTTATCTTGATAAATAATTATCAAGCAATTAAAAAATTAATATGATTCTTTCAAAAAAATATTGAATCCAGTAACATAAAATAAAAACTATGAAATTTTTTGACCGCTTTAAAGAAGTTCTGTCCTCTTTAATAGTTAGGCTGGAAATACCATCACACACATTAATCAGTTTAATCAAATTTGGTGCTCTTTGATATAACAATATATACTGTATATTTTTACTGAGAATTGCCATTATGTGGATGTCTACTGAATATTCATTTGACACTAAATTTTTAGTACATTCTATAAATATATATTTTAATTAAAGTATACGACGGATATTGTTGGATTTCTTCTTTTAAACAACGTTTACTGTTAGCAGGTAATCGGAACGTTAAACAATTTACTACAACTAAAGACTTAAAGACAGAAAAATTAACATCACACAGATATCCTTGATAGATTAAATAAAAGATGCCTCGTTAATTAATACCGCAACGTTACATGACCAAAGAACGTATACAATATATCTATGTAACAATACATATTCTTTGACATGGCTGTCTAACGAACAGCCTTGCTGCAGATGAAGGGGGAGATGCTGCAAAGTTTCCTCTATTCTGCCTGTACTAAATCAAGAAAATTATGATAATGTGGTAAATTCCTTCATATATTATTAAAATAATAATTTTTTACTTGCCTAAATGTTTTTAAATTGTTACATTTGTATTTAAAGTATAAACGTCTTTAATAATTTTGGGTAGTACTGTTATTTATTATCTTCACGACATTTTATAATTTTAAGCTTATTCGGTTTTTGAGTTTATTTTCTATGAGTAATTGAATAATTATTTTAACAATTAAAAAATAAACTGTGAATTATAACAAGTAATTTTTTTAATGAAGAAAAGCGGTCAACAAGAAGTTTGCTTATCCATTTCGAGTTGCCATGCCTTCGTTTCCTAGGCGTGGTTTTATTTTGCTTTCTCCGTTTAGCAACCAATAAGGTGTGAGCACAGTTGTTTTGTTGCTTTTCGTTTTTATGATCGTTCTGATGCTTTCTGTGAGTATTTTTTAAACAATATGAATAAAGCAATTGACTGTCATCATAAATAAAAGTGTTTTTCACCATTTCTAATATTGATTGATGTTGTTTTATTGCATTTAATGGTAACTAATATTTCAAATATAACATCGCTAAACTTCTACTTCATGATCTGAGATCTTGAAGTTACTATGAAAAATTGAAAGTATATGCGGAAAGCAATATTATTGGAAGTAAATTAAAAAGAAACACACATCTCATATTATTAAAGATTTCAAGACCTAATTTGAGTGGAAAAAGTTGCTGTGTTTTGTTTAATAATTCATTGCATAATTATTGGCTGAAATGTACCACTGTACTGTCTATCGGTATAGTATTTAATATGATTATGATAAATATTTCATACATCCTGTTAGAAATAACTTATTCTGCCTCATAGAAAGTTAAACATAGCAATAAGTTGTATATTTGCTATAATGTTTTCATAATCGATTTTAGGCCTAGATACATACAGAGTAACGTAAATTTTATATCTACAGTTTGTACCACACTTGATATTAATATGAAATTAGGCCACACACTATGTGTATAAATTAGTTTAATAATGTCTTAATTGGTTCCATAAATATTCGTGTGATCGGAGTTGCCTGTCTAAATGCATGCTATTTTCGGTATGCACTTATCTGCTGCCTTTAATAAAAAAAAAAAAAAAAAAAATATTTAGTTTCATATCAGAACAATATTTGATTAGAGTAATAAAATGTATATAAAGCATTTCTGAAGATACTTTATTCACGATAAAAGTGTCACAATGAAAATGCATAAATGGGCTTTAATGAATTAAATGAAAACAACTTCATTTCCATAATACTGATATCTCCTATAATGTATAAATTTTGCCTCGTTTTATGTAATTTAAAAGTTAGTGTGGGATTTTAAATGAAATCGAGTTATTTATTACAATAATTAATTTTAAGCAATGAATTCATATTTAGTGTTAGCATTTCATGTAAATAAAATGTTAAATATCCATATGGTCTTAAACTACAAATATGAATATCTAATGAGTATCAATTTTCACTAAGTAATATAAAATTCCATGGAAATTTGTAATATATAGCCAATGAAAGATGTAGTAAATTTTTTGTTTTATCTTCCAGAACGTTTAAAATTAAACGAACTAGATTTTCCTCTCAACTGCAGTTAATTTGTTCGAACTGCAAGAATATCATTTAGTAGAAACTTTGTTGAAACTGATAAAGTGTATCCTGTAATTTGCCTTACAGGCTCAAATTTGTTGAATATTTGTGATCTTAATTGTAAATGTTCCTTTTGTAACTATATTTAATTATTTAAAAAGAAATGTAATTTTCTCTTTAATTTTTTTCACTTTATGTGAAGCTACTTTGTCAGTTTTTGCCTGCTAAAGCCCAGTTGTATTTACTGAATAGTTCTGTAATTTATTCTAAAAAACTTAGCATCCATTTTTAGTATTATTGCAGAAATTAAAATTTAATAAAAAATAGTTCTAGTTAAGCATTATATAACAAATATAGATATAATTTAATTGAAAGGGAAATATGCTGAAACACCAATAAAATGTTTCTTTTTCATCTAATTTTAAATATATAATTGTTTATGGTATGTACTTTTGAATAGCCATTCATGCTCTTTTAATGTCTTTATTTTTATTATTAAAAATGGCTTTCAGTTTTATAAATATGAATTTATGATTATAACAATGTTTTATTTTCAAAAACATTTTTTTAAAATAATTAAATTCTTTGCAGTGTTGATTTCAGAGTGAACTGCTGAATTTATATTAATTTAGTGATTAGGTAGTAATTAAATTATGGTCTTCATGCATTTGCCAATTTAAAATTGTGGTGGATGATAATTTAATTACTCACTTAATTATTCATAATATTAATTGATTAAATTTCTCAGATGAATATTATTTTCTTCATTAATTTTCCATATTAATTCATGAATTTTATTTTAAAAGACATATTTCATATGAATTTGTGTAATTGTTAAACTGAATCTATAAAGATTGAGGTTTAAAAACAGCATCAAAAGACCTAAAATTAAATTTTAAGAATTAATATATTTAAAATATTTAGCATAATATAAGTTAGGTACGTAGTGTAATGGTTTTTATCTTGTTAAATTTCTGTTTGATTTCAAATTTAACTGAGAAAATACAAAAATATACTCTGGTTTTGTATTATCTGTGTGATTTATGTATATGGCATAATCAATTGATTTGGGTATGGAAACAGAATATAGTTTTTTGTTTGCTCTGAAGAAGAAAGTGACTAATGCAGTACAGCTTGTGTGACTTATGTTTGCTGTAGAAAAAAATAAGAAAAATGAAAGAAAATAACTAAGATCTAATTACTACAGTTTGTACCAACCAAGGCATTAGTTATCATAAAAAGAAAAATAAGCAGGTGAGAAGATAGGATTTACCATCAAAATTGGAACAGAATTGTAAATATTCGGACTAACTGGTAACACATCCCATTTAGTTATTTAAAAAATCTGAAAAACTGTGTTATTTCTATGCAGAGGATCAAACATGTATTTATTCTAATACAGTATAATATTTCTTTGTGTATTGTCTTTTATTTCTGCAAATGTTACTCTTTTAAAAAAGTGTTTTTGTATATTTCATTTCTGTAAAATTTAATTCTGATTTAATAAACTTCTGTAAAACTAAATGTGAAATTAATTTTTTTTGATAAAATTTTAAAATGAAGTTGTGTTTCCCCCTTCGCCGAAAATAAAAAGATAAGTTAAGCTGACAAAATGTTGTCATTTTTTTAGGAAACATGTATTTCATATGGCTAGAATGGCTGATTTTATTATGGCCATTATTATTTCGGATGGCTAATTTTATTATGGGCAAATTTTTGTAATTAATTTTAAGATTTTTCAAAATTTTCTGAAAATTTATATCAAATTTCAGAGTTTTTCTGTTATATACTTTTAAGAAATGTTCAGATAATTGCCATATTGCTTTTCATATTTGAATAATTTTCATTGAAGTTTATCCGAGAAGTACTCTGCAAAGTAATGACATTCCAAAATCCAAATCAGAATTTTAAATTTCTCCCTCTTTTTCTATTTTTTTAAATTTTCCAGAATCCGAGAAAATATTGCCAAAATAATGTCAAATTGCTCTTCTGTTAGTACTGAGTAATAGTTTTGGTGCGTGAATGATCTTGTTTATAAATTTAAAAATAATGCTATATCTGTATATATCATATAACGTGTAAAAAATACATCTTAACACATATACTGCCACACTAACAAATGGCTATAAAAGTGAAAAAGAATTGCTACTTAATATTCATACTATAGACTACTAGAACAACTACTATTCATACTATAATACAACTAGAACTTAAAAATTATTGTTGTAGCAGTTTTGCATCCATAAAAAAAATAATAGTAATAGTGAAAAAAACATAGCAGTCACAAAGTAGTGGATGCTGTCCAAATATAGTATTAGTTACATATGTCAGGTTGTTTCAATTTTTAACAATACTACTGCAATGTTTTTATAAATAGCTATTCATCAGCAGTTAAATAGAATTTATGATTTAAAATATTTTAAAATTTTACAGGTATTTTCTGAAGTTGTGGCCAAAAAACGATGAACAATGAAAATGTTGTCCAATCTAAGTAAGCTATTAAAAAATTATTTATTAATTACCAAATTACTGAAATAATATTTTGTCTACTATTTGAGATTATTATAAGAACAGCTTTGCAAGTTGTATGAAAATTATTTTACTTATTCATGTGTTTTGCTTAAATATTGGAACGAAGAGTTAAGTAATATTGGTACTCATCTGTTATCGGGGCTGGATTCAAAAGTATATGTATGCATGCATGTATGTGTGGGTGGATGGATGTGTTCCATGTATGCATACAGGTACATATGTATGTGTGTGTGTATGTACATTTCACATGTGACAATATGCAAGTATAACACTGATTGTTGTTGTTTGACTTCTAAATTAAAATATTTGTTTAGCATGTTATTTTACACTATATCTTACCTCGTTCATTTGCACTTTGGCAGCAGAGGCTGATGGTTTGGTAAACCAACGAAACTTGTTCTGGGAAAATTTGCAAATATAATGTTGATTGTTGTTGTTTGACTTCTAAATTAAAACAAAATTTGTTAACATACCTAAACAAATATGTTTATTTATTAAACATACATATGAAAATAACACAAAGAAAAAAAATCTAATTTGTACTTTTATTTTGCATGAAATCTAAAAGTTGGTATCTGCAAGAAATTTCTGTATGTCACAATTTGTAATTCAAATGCTTTGACAGCTAAATATTAAAATTTTCATATTGACATTAATTCAAATAATTGTAATGTATTGAAATAACTACTAAATAACTTACTTTTAATTTAAATCAAAAAGAAATATACCCGAGCTTCCCAAGAATAAGGTGACCAGATTTTAACATTGGTAAAGTGGGCCACCATTTACCGGGGTGGTTCTTGATTAAAAATTTGGTCTATATGTAGCAACACAAATTTTCATAGAACCATAAATAGTAATATATTTTTATATAATTGTAATATATTTTTTTAAAATTTCAACATAAGTACAGTTTACAAATATAATACATTAAAAAATTACATATAATATTTATTCTTTGGAATATTTCTCATTTGATGAATTGCTTTTAGTAGATTGCTGTTGTTGTTTAAAAGGTCATGAAATTTTTCACAAGAATTTGTTAAATTATATTTCACACATGTGATTTTCCTGATGTCCACACTGTATTTACTGCAGAAAAAATGTGTTCAGTCGCAACATTAGTTCCTGTAAGGACAGCTCGTATTCCACAGTTTTTAGCATAGTATTGCATGGAACATGGTTTGTTTCAAAATGATGAAATATTTCTAACCATTTGTTCTGTATTGTGATTTTTGTTGATGGCCAAGATTTAAACTTTTCTTTATCAATATATTTTTTTAAGTAATGATACTTCATTAAAAATGCTCATTTTTGGAATATATGGGACATTTTGAGTAATATTATCAAATGATTTTTGCATATCATTCCAATTAAATTCTTGTTTTAATATAACCCAATGAATATGTTCAATATCATTGTAATATACCGTCCACTCTTTTAACTAATCATGCCAGTTACTAGAGGATTTTTTAACTTGATCCATGATATCTGCACAATTTATTGCACATTGTTTTTCTAGCTGGATTATACTATTGTGGATAGGTAAGGAAAGAAAATTATTTTCTAACTGCTTTTGACATTGAAATTTTAAATTACTATTTTCATTTGTCACTTCGTTTGCCAAAATTTGTTCACCTTCGATAAGTTTTATAGCATTTTGAAAACGAGCTGCTTGATTAAGTACAAACTCTAGCAAAATTTTTGAAGATTCTTTTAAAACTCTAGGACATTTATCCTGCGATAAAAAGTAGGATTTCAAAGGTTTGCATGTTTTCAAAATTCTTTGGACAGCTGTCAAAAGAGCTAACCAGCGTGTTTTACAGTATCCAAGATTTTTCTGATATTTAACTTCCACAGTTTCACGAAATTCTTTAAGCATTTCAACGTAAACTGTGTATATATAGAAATAAGAATACATTTTAATAACAAAATTTTCCACATCTACGGGCAACAAGTCAGCAGCTGTTTCATTGACGTTATGTATTATGTGCACTGCACAACAAACACGAATAATTTTTTGATTAAGGTTTTTGTTTAATTTATAAAAAATATTATTTGTACATCTTTTTGCTTTTCCTCCAAACTGTGCATTTGTGTTGTCTGTACAATATGCAATCATTTTATGTTTTAAATTGCTTTTCCAAAATATTAATAATGGACCTGAAAATTATTTCAGAAGTTTTGGAAGCCAAAGAAACGAAATAAAATTCTAATTTTCATTCCAGTTTCCGAACCAAAAAATCTAATAATGGTTGGAAATAACTTTATATCCTTATGATTAGATGCATCAAAATACATGGCTAAAAAATTAATTTTTTTCTAGATTTTTGTTTAATTCTGTAAATGCGTATAGAAAAAAAAAAAAAAAAAAAAGGCACATTACACACAATTGCTTCGGATTTTATTCTAGCACAGGTAAGTTTTTTGTTTAATAACTTTTGGACTACTTGTATTGTACAAGATATGAAGGAATGACTGTGATCATTAGCATGAAAAGACATAATTCCTTTTGCTAATGCTAATTTTTTTTCTTCGTCTCCTAATTTCTTTAAGTTGTTTTCTGAAAGAATTCCTGCATTTTGGAGGAAGATGCAGTAGTAATTAAATATCTTTTATACTTTGAAATATCATTCTTCTTGCCGGGCCAAATAGAAAATTCACCATTACATTTCTCGCATTTTACCATGTAATCATTTTTTTTTTTTTTTTTTTTAATAATAAAAGGAAATTTGCTTCTTAGATTATCGTTGAATTTGCATCTTCTTCTCTTACTCATTATGTTAAAAATCTATGGAAATATTTATTATAAAATTTATATATATATTGCTTAAAAACACGGTAAGTAAGTATATTAATTTCTTTGTTATAAAGTAACTATATTTAACAAATTATTTAAATTTTAATCCTATTTTTCACTCTAAGTAATAACAATACTAACTTCTGTTATTTGTCTTCTGAATTTACTGTAATGCAAGTCATAAGTGTCACTTTCAAGGCCGATGCTAGACCTTTTTCCACCACTATAAAATATAAATAATAAGAGTGCTGTTTGTTAAATTCAAGAAATTTAAGTGTTTATGAAGTAAATAAATTATGTGCCTAATTCATCTGAATAGCTGATTTGTCGACATCACTTGCTTAACTAATACTAGCACACAGTACGATGTGTGTATTGTCTGAGAGACAGTTACAAAATGTTTTCGTCATTGCCAATGCCAAAGAATGCCATTGTTCATTAAGTAAAAGCAATGGTGGTCGAATTTTAATGACTGATCAGCAATGGAAACTTTGATGATTTGTTCTCAACAATTATTCATTATTATTAAAGTTTAACATTATAAAATTAACAAAAATAATATAAACTCTTATCCTGGCGAAATAGCCACATGGCCGCCGAAAACCATATTCTCCCGCCGTTCCCTAGCTTGTTGTGCATTCTTTCCCAAAATTGGGACCTTTTTAATGCCGCGAGGGGCTCAATAAATTGTTAAAAATCTGACTGTCCCTGTGTCTGGTCAGCTTGTCCAAGAAGGACAGAATTAATGAAGTTAATCTTAAACTTTTTCTTCAAATTCTTGTCATAATAATACTAATTAATTTATGGAAAATGTATTTACAGGCCATCAGTTTGAGACCACTGCTTTACTGGAAAATAAATATATGAGATTAAAATCAGTTTGATATGCCTTCATTGGTAGAATATTGCTTTGCAGCCAAATGGAACTACAGTTTTAAACAGGTGAAGTCAGAGCTGATACAACACAGTGATGTCCTGTTAACTCTTCTTACAAGGATTATGTCAGCGAGGAATAATTCAAAGGATTGACCTAGCTCTTCTCTTTCACCCTGAGTTTCACCAGTTCTTTTAACACTTTTTGTAATAGCATAGTCAGCTTTTACATATATAGTTTCAATATTGTTGCCAAATGACACATCTTTTGAAAATGAATTTACATAAAAGTGCATATTTCAAAACACTTTTTAATAGTGTTATAAGAGATTACCCCCCTCCATGGACCACAAATTATTAAACATCCCACCAAATAATAATTTCATAAACTCGTTGCTGAATAATTTTTCACTAATTTGATGCACTAGAGGCGGGACAAAGTCAGACAGAAGTGGTCAGATAGCTAAATTTGAGTCCTGTGATTTGTAGAGTTTGGCAACAATTTCTAACTACAGATTTGATATCCAAGAGGTTCAGCCAAGGAGGGCCAATTGCTACGACGAGCGCCGATGACCAGTATTTGATGTTATGCACACAAAGAAATAGAATTGCATCTCTTCCTCAACTCAGATCCTCCCTCGCTGCAGCTACCAGAAGGTTGGTTTCAATGCCAATGCTTCACGAAGAAGGCCCGTATACGAGGTGACCAGCCATTTGTGTGTCGTTGATATAACGTTGTAGAAGGGAATGTTTCAGCTGGGCTGGTGAACATATCCACTGGATAGCTGATCAGTGGAGGTTGGTTCTCTGTATGAATAAGTCCAAGTTTAGCCTCTGAAGTGATAATAGTCAGTATTTGATTTGGAGAAGACATGGAACACATTATCATCCATCAAACATCTTTGAAAGAGATACATACAGAGGAGGCAGTATCTGTATTTGGGGTGGTATCTCTTGGGGTGGACGCACAGACCTCCATGCCTTTCCACAGGGAACTATGAATGCTTAGGTCTATAGAGATGACGTCTTTGGTGCTTATGTATGCCCTTATGCCAGGGCAATAGGTGATGATTTCCTGCTACAGGACGAAAACACTAGACCACACAAGGATTGCATCAGGGAGGATTATCTTCAGCAGCAAACAATTCAACGCATGGAATGGTTAGCTCGATCACCAGAACTGAATCCTGTCAAGCATACTTGGACTTTAGGAAGATGTATAGGTGTTCTCATTCCTCCTCTTCAGACCATTGCCACACTTGCAACTCCTTTACAAGAGCAATGGC